AATTCTTCGTACAACAAATTCTTTCTTTTTTTTTGTATTTGAGTTCTATTAAAGACTAACAATCTCCTATGCATAGCACATATTCGATTTCATATGATTAAGTGTACAGGGTGCGTAAAAATGTTTGTCCAGGGGGTAACTCTATGCTAACACATAGTAACCATAATGAATTTTATACCAAATGAAAGCACGGGAAAATGTGATATTCTGATGCTAAATTGTAAGGGTTCTGAAAATTTTTTTATAACGAACATAATTTATTTTTGAAAATTTCGAGCTATTTCACTATGAAGAAGTTTATTGCTTCAAGCAATTCGAAGTGAATCTGATTGAAAGCGATCGATAGCATCAAAGGGATCTATTTTTCAAAACTGATTAGTAAAATTAATAATCAGTGTGACGTCCATTGGCATTCCTCACTGCCTGAAGACGGGACGGATACGAACATAAAAGAGTTTCAAATAGTTCCACATTTAATTCCATGTTAGTGAGAACATCTATGAGACGCTTTTTTAATGTCTCTTGCTTATAACGATTCTTCACGGTTTCCGATAATATTTTTCGCTCAACTTCATGTTTAATTATTGTTTCAATATGTTCAGCGACATTCAGATCAGGTGAATTTCCAGGCCATTTGTCATTACCCCAAAAAGTGATATCGTTCTCTTTAAGCAAATATTGAGTCATATTTACACGCATGCATGTCGCTTTGTCATGGACAAATATTACTTGATCAGGATCGATTACATTTTCTTCGTCCTTGAGAAATGGAAACACATACTGCATCAAAATAACGTCACGGAAATATTGGCCAGTCCAAGATTCACCCTTCTCCTTCGTTACCCAATGCAGCTTTTTTTTTGCCGTGAAAATGATAAAAATATTAATACATGCTTGATTTTTTACCATTTCGCGATATCTTTCATCATCTGCAATATCTTCAACACTTCTTGCCCAAACTCTATCATTTTGATAATTTGACCTGCGAATAGTCCAACCATAAAATTCATCCGATGGTGCGAGATGAAAAAAATCCTCTTGAGTTCAGTCTCTTAGCCAATCACAAAACCACAATCGGTCCGAGATATGGGTTTCTGTTTTTAAGGGTTTTGGAATAGCATGAAATAGTTTCAATTCATCCCTATAACGGTAATTATCGACTGTTTTTGATGTAACATACTCTTTGTATTTTGCTGCAATCTCTTTGACCAAAGTGTAAGAACTTCTTTTTTGCTTGCCAGTTGCAATGAGAATGAGATTTTGACTGGCATCTGATAATTTCAGTTTTCGACCACACTCGGAATAATCAGCGAAGCAATCATCGTACGATTTCTCCCACCACTCTGTGACAAATCGCGTACTGCGATGAGTTTTTTCTACAATTCACTGTCGATTAATGAATGTTGCGCCTCCATCTCGAGCCTCACGAAAAGCAATACATTTGATTCTGTCGAAGATTCTTTTTCTCTTCTGAATCGTAAGTACCAGCAATTTCCAAACAATTAAATTAACTTCAGCCACCAAAGTAATCGATTGTTTTTGTCTATCTACCTTATATACCACGAAATGACTTTGCGCTGTTGCAGAGGGTCATGAAATTTTTATTCTTAGACAGATAGAAATGAAAAATACTATTTGATGAGTGAATCGAAATATGCTTGCAGAACGAAAAGATACTCAATAGAGAATAGATAACGAGTACTGCTACACACTTTCTCTCATTTTGCTGGCATACCATCATTCATATTCAGAAGTAGAAGATTAAAAAGTGAGAGAATGAACAAGAATGATATCATTTTATGTGCTGGACCATGTTAAATGATTTACACAGTGATACTTATATAAATTTGTCTGGCAAAAAGCACATTTCTTACCTGAAAACTCATTATCGATACGTCATCACGATGATCCTGTACAAATTTTCAAAAATAAATTATGTTCTTTATAAAAAAATTTTCAGAATCCTTACAATTTAGCATCAGAATATCACATTTTTTCCGTGCTTTCATTTGGTATAAAATTCATTATGGTTACTATGTGTTAGTATAGAGTGATTTCCCTGGAAAAACATTTTTACGCACCCTGTATTTATAATAAAAAATTGAGTCGACAAACAAAACACAAATCATATTTTTATTTTTATCTTTTGTAAACAATAAGATTAAAACATGATGAAATCGCATATATTTTGCTATTATGTAATAAAAAGTTTATTTTACTATTTTTCTTGTAGATCTCTGAAATCTATTCGTCGTTATTATTGCCGAAAAATAAAATATTACATTCTTTAAATAAATATACCAATCATGCAGTTAGATACCTCGTTTTGAAGTGAATATTGAATAAAAAAAAAATAAAAAATTTGCTTCTATCTCTATTTGTGTACTTAACATGACTAAAAAAAGATAAATGGCGATGATTATTCATTTTTTCAATGCATTATTCTCTTGATAGAGATTTTTTAATGAAATCAATAAATGAATATGTCAAACATAATAAGCAAATTCATCTAAAACTTCGATGAATAGTCAGTTTTATGAATTTAGTATGATAGAATTTCTTAATGAATTAATTAAATATCAAAGCTTATTTAAATATTTATGAAGAAGCTTTGGTAGAATAGAAATTATTCATAGAATATTGTATAATTGAATGTATTTCTCTAACTCTATAGAAACCAATAATCTTCAAAGAATTGTTTTTTTGTTTAATTTTCATAAGCAATCGTACATAAAGATGGAAAAAGACATACAACATAATAAATCGATAACATTATCTCTTTTGTTTCTCATGAAATCAATTTACATATCAACTACATTCTTTCTCTCTTTGTCTCTCATAAATACTTAGAATTTTATCAATACAAAGTCAAAACAATTCTTTTGTAGATCCATCTTGATACAAGTAGAATCAGATTAAAAGAAAAAAGATCTACTTATAAGAGAATGTCTTTCTGTAATGTAAAACTTGCATATGTTTTGTGTAAACAGTATTTCTCAGCAACAAAATCATCAAATCTTTTTAAATGGCAAAAATATACATTTCAACATTGTTTTAATTGTTTCTTATCACGAACAAAGGTCGATAAAACCATTTTTTTCGGCGCATAAAATTGTACAGTAATGACCAGGTGACAAGTACAAACTCAACACGACCTACCATTCGAGCACAGTTATTAATCATAGTCTTTTGAAATTATATTACTTCGCTCTTTCGTCGGATTACTTTCTGAAAATGATATCGGCAGATCCAGCCTTTTATCGTTTATTTGATTATGTTGTTAGTAAAGAAAAAACTGTTCTTCTTGGATAAGACTACTATTTATTAATGAAAAGCCATTATTTTCAAATCATCGTTTCACAATTGTCACATGTCATATATCGTCTTATATGTTTAACTGACAAAATTAATGACGCATTAGATAGAGAATATTCAACTACCTCTATTAAATACTTCTTAAACATTAAAAATCCAATGAAGATTGATGAAAAAGCATCAAAATTGTTTTATTTATAAAAGTTACTAATGTTGAAAAACAGTAAGAACAGCTAGCTTACCTCCATCATCGCGATTTCATTTCTCAAAAAAAAACCACATGACGATAATAAGTCCAATTGTGGACTACAATTTAGGCATACTTATTCTTCTTTTTTTCTCGTCCATACTCTCCTTCAGCTCTCAGGAACTTGAAGGACCCTTTTTTCTTAATTTTGTAGCAAAACACTTGCCATAATATAGGATTCATAGTACTTATTCCGAATATTTCCTCAGTTTTTTCTCTAAATCCTTTTAAAAAGTAAGAAGACGAAATATGTAACATTTTACAGTAGATAAAAAAGACGATCTTCTCTGTATCCTTTTAAAGTTATTCCTACTCAAATGTCGTGCTCTAAATCTTTGAAAAAAAAAAATTATTTACGTATTTGCGTATCTTCAATTTCTAGAGTCGCTAGTTTTGTCCCCATAGCACAGATTTTTGTTCTTCAAGTGCATATTAACATAGAGTATGATGAATTGGATCTGTCTATAACACTTTGAGATGGCAAAAGGAGATGCACATATCAATTGACTAAAAGTTTCGTCCGAAATTCAGTTCTATGAGCTGTTTCACGTATTGAAATATCTAAACTTTTGCATTGTTAGATAAAAAAAAATAATTGATTATCGTTTTGAACTTTGCTTACAAAGACTAATAATTAGTTAATAACAAAGAACAATGTATTTATTTATTCAATATCTAATTTATAATACAAGGGGCTATAATCATTCATTGAAATCCTTTAAACGAAAACGAAAATAATATTCGTAAACAGGGTGATTAATGCTATATTGTTGCATTTGTTTGATTCAAAACAAAGAGAAGAAAACCATTCAACTGCGAAAAAAAGCTTCATAACAAACATAGGTGTATAAATAGGCCTATACTTTTTGTCTATAGTTAACTTATTATTGTGATAGGCTTTGTTTTTCGAAAACATACTGCAGAGAAAAGCGTTCTTGTCGACCCTTATCGTATTATCTTTCGAATTATAACTGATAAATTATCCAAAAAGAAAAAAGATTTATGCGAAATAACTTTACAAAAATCATTAACTTTTTGTTTTTTGTTGGTTTTCAATATCTCTTTCTCTTATATATTTAATATTTTTTGATAACATTGCTTCATGTTCTATGCAAGTTAATATTAACTAAATAGATTTGAATAGCAATCTATTTGAATTTATTTGCCAAAATAATGTTTTTTGCTGTTTATTTTTCAAATCGACTACATCAACAAACAAAATAATGATTTTTTTTCTCATTTTTACGATTTATTAAACTATAAGAAAAAGAATTCTATATACAATAGCGTCACCTATCTTCATCTACATGTGTTTGCTAATATTAATCACCTCTCTTATTATTTCTTCTATTATTTTTGTTGTCATCTCAACAAAGAATCTTCACATTCATGAAGCCTTGTCAAAGTGACAGTTAGGATATATTTTATTTAAAAAAAAATGTTATCTTTAAATGATGCTGCCGTGAGTCTTTACTATATTTTTCATATTTGAAATTATTTTCATGTTTTATTTAGCATAATGCTCAACAATATTCTGCTTTTGTTGAACGACATATGGATGAACGTCGACAACGTGTTGAACAACTTGATGCTTTTGTTCGTCATCGACTTCGTCTTTATCGACAAGCACAAGAACATGTTCAACGACAAACAACAAATAAAATTGTACGTTCTAAAGATCTTCATTTTCTAATACTTATTCTATATATATATTTTTTTTTCTTCTAAATAGGTCGAAGCAACTGCTTTACCACCACCTCCAGATAATACTGTTGTCATTTTATCACAACAATCTTCAACACCAATTCTTGAAAAATCATCATCATCATTTCATAATCCAATTGAAATGACAAATCGTGTTCGTCTTAGTAAACAACGTTTAGCATCAAAACAACTTACTCAACCTGTTAATACTTCGTCTATTGATGATACACAAATTGTTGGAACTTGGCTTAATCCTGCACCAACAACAATAGTAAAATAATGTTTTATTATTTTTTTCTTTAGTCTTATGAATTATTTTTTTTTTCTTTAGACAGATAACGATGAACAGCAACGATCTGCATCAGGTAAATTTTTTTTTTATTGATTGAAATTTGAAAAGAATTTTTGTTGTTGTTCTTTTTTTCATTTTTAGAAAATACATTGCGTCGATCGATGAATGAAAATCGTCTTTCATCATTTGCACTTAAAGCATTGACCGGTAAAGAATTGATCAGCTAGAAAGTATTTCCAATGAGTCAAACGATATAAGTTAGAATACTCTTTTCAAATATGAACTTGGAAATTTTATTTGAGAGTAATGAAATAATTTTTGAAAAAAAAAGAATTAGTTTGATCGGAAAACTTTTGTATTTTGTTTATTACGATTCGAAACAAACAGTTGGCATCTCTATTTATATATCAGTTTGTAGATTAGAAACTATTCTATAAAATGAACATTTTTGTCTTTCGGCAAGACAATTTGTTTACATTTTTAACAAAATTGACAACTGTTTGATGTTGAAAATAATTTAATAGTTTTTAACTTGTCGAAAATAGTTTCGCGCGAATCAAAACTGAACAAACATGTTGTCTAAAAACTTTTCGATCATTCATTATTTTGTTTTTCGTAAAACTATTTAAAAAAAATAAAATCTATAGATTCATTAACCGATGGTTTAACAAATGTTGAAAATCGAAAACGTCTTCAAGCAACACGTGCTTTATTTATGACTATTGAAAGACGACAAGTCAAAGAAGCTTTACTTTTAAATAAACAAAATAAAGAAATGCAACGGTTAGCATCACTGTTTTTTTGTTTTTTACAAAATTTTTAATTCAATTTTATTTAGTCTTGTTGAACTTAAAGAAGCTGAACGTTTACATCAAGAAGAATCCTTAGCACAAAGACAAATATCGACAATGCATACTATTTCAGGTTGCAAAAAAAAAAAAATATTAATTTATTTTTTATTTATATTTATTTTATTAAAATTTCTAGATCAATCTATTGTCGATGTGAATAGTATTGATCCAAAACAATTAGCTCGTATTCGTCAACAACGTATTCATGAACAAAAACGAAGAGAACTCGAACGGTATACTGAATTAATATAATTAAATAACTGTTTGAAAATAGTCTACTGTTAATGTTAAAAATATTTCTTCTATGAAACTCGATATTAAACATTTTTCATAGATTAGAAAATAATTTAAGAAAGTTCTAGTTTTACTTAAATGTCTAAAAAAAAATTCTTTTTTTCATTGAGATCGAATTCTTTTAGTTATATATATTTAATTGAGTAGTAGTTGTTAAGATGATTAGAAAAGCTGTTCTATTTGAATTAATTAGAGATTGAATTATTATTTTCATATGAACTACGTCTATCACAGCTTGTGGAACTGCTTAAACTGATAATTAATGACTAAAGATATCAAAATACATTCTGAATAGCTCAAAAAGGTACTTGATCGATATATTTGAGTTGAAATCTCTAACAAATCTATTTTTGATAAATGGATAGGTAATAGACTTGTGACAGTTCACGATCAAGAAACTGCAACTGTCAACCATTTCTTTTCAACTAAATATAGTGACAACTTCTTTTTTCAGCAACTGGCACAGTTACTGAGTAGAATTGTTACATTATCATGATTACTAGGCATAGTTTCTATGAAAAGAACTGGTCACTAAACTAGACATGTACGGACTGAAATCAAGACTGTGAGCAAAAAAGTTGTTACAGTCGGAACTAAAAAAATTATAGTTTAATATTCTATGGTTTTAAGTGAATTATCTTTTAAATCATATCAATGAGAATATAATTCAAGAAAGATTATTCCTCAAAAAAAAGTGCTAGTCGTCGACTAAAAAAAAAATCAGTATTGTATAATTACTTTAGATGTGATGTAAAAAAAAAAACTCTAGAATAGATTTCTCTAGATTGAGTTCTTAAAAAGAAAAGAATATTTGATGATTAAGAAAAAAAAAGATTATTTTTACTACGAAATTCATTTTATTCATCTTTTTTATACGGTTAATGTTAAGGATGAGATATTCTTTGATTTGGAATATATCATTTGTTATTGATATTTATATTTTAATTTTGTTTTAGATACATTCGAGCATTGAAAACATCATTAAGAGAACGTTGTTCAAAACGTAATATTAATGTACCAACATTATGTTCATGTCATTCCACAATTTGGGATGCTGATCCAATGACATGTTCACAAAATTGTTCATTTTATCGAAATCCGGCTGGTAATAGAAACTCGTGTTTGTTTTTTTTTTAATCAAATTTTTGTTTCTTTGTTAAGCTTTTGCAACATCACTCCACAGTTTACTTACATCATGTCAAGTCACAAATTAACAGAATGATTGTTTTTAGTTTCTTTTTTTTGTTGTTTTTGTATTAAAAACGAATGAGGATGAATAGTCTTTAGTAATAAATATGAATTATATAATCTGTTGTTTTTTTTTGTTTCTTCAATTTTAGATAATTGACATATTATTTCAGTTCAATCTATGGTATGTATTTATTCATAAAATATTTTTTGAAGTTAGTTTATATTAAATAATAAAAGAGTATAAGTTTTTATTGTTAAATTTTCTATAGAATATTTAAGAGTAGGTCTAATTTCATAGTAATTTGATATATAAAAAGAAGACAAAAAAAGAATACTTTTATTTATTATTTTTATTCAAGGCTCGAACAAATTTATCTGTTCTACCCGATGTTTGTGTATGTCTTCGTGATGCAATGGATCTTATGTTTAACAATGATAATTATAATAGATTAAAACAAATTGATCACACAATTATAACACCTGAAGACAACGATGTAATTGTTGATATCATCAATGATGACGATGATAAAATTTCGACAGATGCTTCGCAATCATCGATTAATAAACGAAAATTAGTAAATACTGCTAGTTTAACTCATGAACAACAAAATGAATGTGCAAAACGTTTATGTACAACAAATGATCATCAATAACAAGACTATAAAATCGAATTTTTCAAACAAAAAAAAAAAAAGAAATTGATTTTTTTAAATCAATTTTATCTTCTTCAAATTTTGTATTCAGTCTCATTGTCATTGTATTAATATTGATAATGTATTTGTTTTGTTTAATATACCATAATGGAGAAAAGTTGCTATTGTAGAGGATGTCAACTATTATAAATACTGAAAACTTGAAAATTTTTGTGCGCTTACCGCATTAAGAATATAGATCAGAAACACAATTCTATTTCGATTGCTTAAGAATACAGAGAATTATAATTGATGGGAACTATTCTTATATTGAGCTGTTTAACCTCAAAAAGATTATTTGGACAATTTTGCATCACATTTTACCAAATACATGATTCATTTCGTATAGTTTTTGAGTAGAACTGAAGATCAGTTTATAGACATTCTTTATATAATAGATCAGTTCATTTCCTTGAATATTGACGTCTCTAGATCTTTCTGAGTGCTCCATCTCATGTACACGATGGTTTTTATAAAGCTTGTAGGCACAAATGTTCAACTGTACAGATAGCTTCTTTAGGATGGAAAATTTTTCTTCACTACAATAAGTAATTTGTATACATTATAATGTAAGTATAATGATAGGTTACAAAAATAATTTCAATGTTAGTTTACGCATATAGTAAAACTTAAAAAAAAGAAAAAAAATATTTCAATGAGATAATTCATCTGATAAAAAAAATAAGTTTATTGATCGTCTAGTAAATCATGTTCATATGATTTGTTCATAGTTTGTGCACTAGTGTCCAACGTATCATCACAGACAGCACGTATACGACTCATAAATCGAAGATAAGTAGATATTGGTAGTATTTTATTACAACTATGTATAAGTTCTAATTTTAATGAACGATACATTGATATCGAATTTGTCTTACACATAGTATAAAGATTAGATAATTCTTCACCATTAATTCCTTGACAAAGGAATGCTATTGCTGAAAGATTATGTTTTAGTAAAAATTCTCGAACATTGTCTTCATTCCAATTTAAAATATTATTTTTGTTAACTTTTACATTTGTTGTATTTTGATGATTTGCCACTTCTTCTTTAATATTATCTTTATTTTCACTAGATGCAACAGATTTCTCTTCCATTCTAAAATAATTTATAAGAATTCATGTAAATAAAAGTCTTAACTATATTATCTTACTCAGCAGCTTCTTCAGCTTCTTTACTATTTTTCTTTTGTAATTGTATTTCATTATCAAGCAGTTCGATTGCTTTATCGAAATCATATTTTTCAAAATCGATATACATTCTTGTACCTAATATAAAACCTAACCATCCATCAGGTATATAATCTTCTTTCATTTGTATTGGAACTATATTTTTTTTACGTTTAAATGCATATTCAGCTTCAGATTGACAGTTTGCACTTCTTTTATATGTGTCAGACATACACATTAGAATATACTCAGCATTTTCAACTGCATTTGCCTATACAAAGAAAAAAAACGATCATGAATAACATTTACTACTTTATATAGTTCGGAATCGCTATACCATGGTTTCTATTGTTGATCCATGCATTTGTTCTTGATCTAGCCAAACTCTATAACCAAGTTTTTCAGTTAAATGCTTAAAAATACGATGAGCTAAATCCATATCAGCCCATGAATAAGATATCATGATATCATACTTTTGTATTTCTTCTTCCTTTTCATCTTGTTCAATGTCAGGTTCTTCAGCTTTTTGCTTTTTCTTTTCTTCTTCAGCAGATTGTTCTTCTAAAAACTTCTCTTCTTTTTCTACTTTCCAAATCAAACCTTCAGCTGCTTTTTCTAGTGTAATATTTTCATCTTGCTTTGATTTCTCAAGTAAATGATTGACATGAGTCATTAAGATTTGATCTTGTTTTAGTTTGTTCAATGCTTCAGGATTGCTGAATGTACATGACCAAAGTATTGTGAGAGCATCTTCTAGTTGTTTAACGCATTTTTCATATGGTTCACCATCACAAACAAAAGATATGAGTTTGTCCAGACCACCTTGTTTAATAAACTCATTTTTTATCTGTTCATATTGCATCAATGCTACAAAATAGCAAAAACAAAATGTTTAATACTCGGTACTTTTTAAAATAGTAATGAAAAGTTCACAACCTAGTTTATTTTATTTCTCTCTCAGTATCATACCCTGAAGACTTGATAATGTATTGTCTATATCTGGCTTATATTCATTTGGATTGAGTTCTTTAAGTTGATCAGTAAAAACAGAAATTATTTCACTTGAATTATTATTTATTTCTTGTTCATCCATGATTTCTGCAAGTATGTCAAATGCTAATTTTCGTTTTTCACCCATTTCAACATCTGTATATTTATTGAATAAAGATGTTAAATGACGTTTTTTCATGATTGTACGAATGTCAGGAATTTTTGATAAATTATAAAATGCTTCTAAAGCAACAATGATCAATGTATCATCATTAGAATTAGTTGATGATAGATTTTCTAGCATTTTAATTAAATGATCAATAATAATTTGTGCATGTTTATCGAATGAAGGCAGTTTAGGAATACTAAGAAGTTGTTGACATCTTTCGAAAATATAATAATGACCAGAATATGTAATAGGTGGTTGATCAAGAGCATGTTCGAATCGTGTCAAAAGTTCATCATAAAAATGATTAATGGAATCAATCTTAGATAATGAGCTATTCGAACTTTGCGAAAGTAATGCATCAAAAGGCATATAGTCCCAACAAGTAAACAAAAGAAAATCATCCATGTCAGTATATGTTTCTTCACTTTGAAATCGACGCACTGCTTGAATATAATCATACGAGTCAAGACAATTCAATATCACTAAATTGTATAAAATCAAAGTAGTGATGATATATGAATTACGTTAAAAACATCTATACAGACAAACTTACAAGTTTCAATTAAACATGCATTATGTTCCGTACAATTATAGAATGGACATCCTTGTAACAATTTTATTGTTAGCAAACCTAATGTACATATATTTGGATCATCATTAATACATTGTTTATGCATATCAGAATCTTCAATTTGTTCACGTACTAATATAAGAAATCTTCTTGTTGCTAAAAGATCTGTTATTCTTTGTCGATCTTCATCGGCACCAACTGCAAATGCATATTCAGCAGCATTAACAAAAATAAGTACAATCTTAAGAAATATATCCGATTCTTGAATACTTAAACGTATTTCCGATGCCCGCCAACTAACTAATAGATCAATAAGCATTTGATGTAGAAAATATATAAGAGGATGACGAAGAACGCGTGGATTAAGTAATTTATATGGTGAAATTGCTAGAACAACATTTGCTATTTCTTCTATAGCGTCTAAAAACATTTTTATTGTTGTTATACCACTTGTTTCCATTCTTTCAAATTCAGTGAGAAGTGCACGAAACATAGTACAAATATCAGTTGAAGAAAGTTTATCATCAACTAAGTCTTTTTGAATATCAGATAAATAAAATCGATTGACTATTATTGATGAAGATCGTGAAGATGTATCTTCTGTTGTCATGATGATGGAAGTCTAATTAGGAACTTAGAAATTTATTTTAAAAAGTCTATAATGAAAAATGCATAATTAGTCAATGTGTCAGTCGAATCTACTCATTAAATGAAGTCTCAAATACCTGTATATATTTTTTGAAACAAGCAACAAAAATATGCTTGATTAATTAAGAAGAGCACGTTCTGTATACGTTTAATTTTGTCGCATATTTTGTTATCATGTTTGTCTAACCAACATGCTTTTGTTGCTTTGACTTTGATTTCATGAGAAAAGAATAATAAACATCCTAGGTATATTCTAGATACAATCATTGCAATTGTATTTATTAACATGTGGACTATTTATTCGATTGTTTGATGATTGCTTTGTGCACTATCGCTTGTACAATCTATATTGTGTAATACAAAAATTATCTAAAGAAAAAAAAAGCGTCTTCAAGGTGTGATTGCTGACGCTTATTGAAGTAGTAATCATTTGGATTGTGAGCAAAAGACAGTAATTGGCTACGGTAACATTATTCACTGATCTTTCTAATAAACAAGAATTAAATTCTTGTTTTCAGTTTTTAAATAGCATCTAGTTCTCTGGGTCTATAAAATACATATCGAATTTTTCTTAGTGTAAACAGCATATGTTTTCATTTTAAATAATCTTTTTTTTCTATATTGAGGAATTTATATTACTTGATATTGTTCATTTCTACGAATAATGCAATGTATCACATGTCTTGAGTGATACTATTTTCTATGAAATATTTTCGATGATAACAAAAAATACAAATATTACATTACATTTGTTTGTCAAAATAATACGGTTATCGAATTTAAGATTTTCTCTTTAGATTAAAAAAAAAACAAAAAGATTTTACTGTATTATTCTTTTCATTTAATTTAAAATAGATTAGAATCGAAGTAAAATTTTTTCTTACAATTTTGTATTCTAGAGCTTTAAGCATTTATATCACTAATAACTGTTGAGAAATCAATTCATTATTATATTCAAAGCTATCTGAGCGTACTAGATGATATTTTTTCGACAAGAAACATTGACATTTTTGATAGAAATTTATTCGAACGATCACTTCATACTTGGAAGTTGCTAGAATGAAATCAATAACTATTTCTGACAATAAAATATCCTACTATTTAGTTCGATAGAAAAAAACTAGAACGAAATTTAATATGATACTTCTATAAATAAATTTATTTAGATTCATTTTATTTGGTAATCACGGTCATTTTTTTAAATAATTACCTGTTGTTTATATGAACACGCTATCAGTGAATATACTTTAAAATTTTGACAATTCATTTTATCTTTTCTCTTTGAAAGTGAATGCAAACACTTCTCAGTTTATTGAATACTTATAAAATAAAATCTTTTCATTT